AAAAGTGAAGACTGACTGTTCTTCCACAGGCCAATAGCACTTTAAGAGCAACGTATGAGCCCTTCCAAAATGATCAACATTATCACAACAGTTTGGGGACTGTTTAGAAAAGCCAGTCAACTTCATACTATTGGAAATCCTGAACTCCTCTTTGGAAACTATGCATTTTGAGTGCCTAGAATTTGAGGAGAGGTTACAGCATAGCAATCAAATTCCATCTCGCTGCCAACCAGGAGGGCAGAAAGTGGTGTTGAAGCCACATTCTGCAGCAGGCCTTTTACAAAAAGTGGCAGATTTGTTTATTTACTTTTCAGGCAAATGTAACAGGAAAACAAACGAACAAAACCCCAAAACAAAAAAGCGTGGAGGCCCGACTTTTCAGGCAAATGTAACAGGAAAACAAACAAACAAAACCCCAAAACAAAAAAGCGCGGAGGCCCAGGTAGGGCCATGACATTAAACCAGAGGATTAATGTCACTGCATTAGCTGCTTCACACTAGCACTCTGTGAAGACCCATCTATGCCGTGATGTGGCACTATAAGGTGCTTCTCTTAAAAAGGAATACCATAACACTCTATGTGGTTCAACTACAACTTGAACAAAGAGAACTAATCAAGCTGCTGTGTAATCTTCACCAAAAATGTGTTAGAAACAAAGAACCAAACATCATCATCCCACAACGCAAATCTAGCCACATGCCAGCCACATGCTTGGAGACGTGAGAAAGAGTAGCAAGAGCCAAGGAAGTGCCTTAAGCAAACACTGCTGAGTGCTTCACAACACCACTCCACAGCCCACGCTGCATTAAGTGCGTCCACACAAACGTCGGGCCTCCTCTGCTTTTAAAGTAGACATTGCACTACAGAGCACATAGCACACGCAATTGGTCTATCATATCTAACATGCTGTAAACCAGCACTTGGCCTTACTGAGCACTTCATTTCTTTTGCAAGTAATTTCTTATAAGTACTATTATAAGTAACTTTTTTTATTCTTGGTAGGCCTTGTTGTCTTCCACCTCTTCTTTCCAGTGAAATTTGGCAATAAATTCTCACTCCCTCTTACTGTTATTATATGGGCTACTTGCCACAACATATCTGTATTTTTGTCCTCCTTTTCCCATTGCTCTGGGTTTGATGGCTCATTTTCTATATGCTAGCTCATTTTATTTCCTGGATTTCCACCATGGAAATAACCCACCATTTTTCTGTACTCAGCCTTCTTCCTCTCCACATTATCTTCCCTTCATCTACTGTCAGCAGATTTCTGATGCTTCTGGTGACACCTTTCTATGACTTACCAACCCTGTCAACTGACTTCCCGCCAGCTGTCGGTTGCCACAGCATCGGCAGGGAGCAGCAACCTGCAACAGCTTCCAAAAAAAGAAATAGCAAAAACATGGCTAAGAAAGAAAAAGAGTGGAAGAAAAAAAACAAATTCTTTGGCCAAGAGATCAGATATAGCCCTTCTGCAGATTTGCTTGGGTCTGAAGCAACTCTGAGGGAAGAAAGAGGACAGATTTTGTGGTCTAAAATCCTCAGATAATTTACGGCTGTAGAGTAGATCACAGTTTTGGGGGAAGGCAATAGTTAAGGATGGGAGATGGTCAGAGGTTTGTTTACCTTCTTTGTTGCTTGTTTGTTTACATCCAAGTTGGGATTATGTTATAGGCAAGTCATAAACCATACACACTCCATATAGAGGGAATGAAATGCTTCATGACATGACCTAGTTGTTAAATCCAAGGCACAATCTGACAAATATCAGAGTTTATATTTTCTGCTTTACAAATTTTTGATATTGGCAAACTGAAACAGGTAATGCTGCTTATTGTCAGACAGAAAATGTGATTTATCCCTTCTGGGCTATTCAGAGTTTGGATCCTGTGTCTACCCTGTAACTTGGTGATTGAAAGAAAAGAAAAAAGAAAAAAATCACCACAGAGTTTATGTAAAAATGAAACGTATTTATATTTAGTATTTGGCTTCAGATGGAAGTGTGAAGGTAAATATATCCTCAGGAAAAGAAAGGGTTGAAAGAGTTTAGAATGCAGTGTAGAACATCAAAACAGCAAATCAGGGGCTCGAGAAATAAACACCCCTGCCATAGGGGCAACTACCACTCAACCTTTCACGTCCTCCTACAGCAGTAGATGACAACGCGGGACACATGTCTTATCCAAACAGGGCCTTCAAAGCAATCCTAGCTTCAGGCAGATGCACACTTGCACACTTACAGACATGAGAATTCAGAGTGGAAAATATGTGAAAGATCATCTTTCAGCTACACTGTATGCATAGTACATCTTTAACCACTGACATGACAACTGAGCAATCGGGGTTTGCGAGGCGTTTTGGATCTGTGGTAGAGATCTTGCTCTCTAGGCTTCTTTCACCATTTTGCCCATGAAGTCCCCTCCTTCTAGTGGCAGCCTGCAGGTAAGGATGTATTTGCCTTTGCTTGGTGTTCCACACAAGGAGCTGTAGCTCCTTTTGATTTTAAAGGTGAGACAAGGAAAGGGTGTTCATCACAAAAACTCTGCCAGGAAACACCATGCTAACAAAAGCTATCACTCAAGAAAACACAACCTCCTCCTTCTTGAAGGACAATACCACAGAAGGTATTCTTGCTAGCTCATCATGTGTTTTTTACTTAAATTATTTTCATAAACCAGCTGACATATCTGGACCCTCCAGTGCAAGGTCATTCTTCCTGCCACCCCCAGGAAACAAGGCAAGCTGCTCTCCTACTGCAAAGGAGTCACCATCACCTTGTTGACCACATAACTCCATGGCTGATCTCTTACAAGTAACACCCATGTGTTATACAGATCAACAGAAACCTGAGAAACCAAATTCTCTGGTATTTCTGCCTCCCCTGTGCTCAGTATGGTATTTATGGTAGTTCAGTGAAAACCTGTAATTCCATTTCACAGAGGATATTGAGACTTCAAGATCTGCTTTTACTCCAGCTTGGCACAAAACGCAAAACATTATGAAATACTGCACAAACAAAAATGACTGTTCTTCACCCAATTCTGGGACAGTCCGATTTATGAGAGTAGCCTAAGACGAAAGCAGAGTCCAACAGCCAAGGCCACATTTCCTGGAGCTGGGAGAGCTACCACAACTACCTGGTGACTAGTCAGCTGCCACAGCAGCCCATGACATGTAACAACCACAGAAGCCCACCAAGCATATTCTCCAGTGCTGACATTGCCTCTGCTGTTAATAGAGTGGGACTAGTTTGTTTGTTAAGGCTCTCTGAATCATTGAACTGAAATAGGAAAAGAAACCAAATTTGGGATGAAAAAGTAGAGAGAAAACAAATGCACCACTACTACTATGCACTATTCACAAGATATCCTTTCATGGTGCAGGCTTATTACCAAGGTAGCTCTGAAGCAAACTTCTCGGGCTGGGTGAATGGACGAAATAAATTACTTTTGGCAAACAACCTAGATGCTCATACCAATTCACTTGTTGTTTCTTTTTTTTTTCTGCAAACAACTGTTTAAGTACTGTTTCCAACTGAGCAGAAAACCTCAGGCCACCAGACAGAGTTTCCAAAACAGCAACAGAGTATAATTTTCCATGAAAATAAACAAATACAAAAATACCATGTTGCTCCAAACACCTGAAGTCTTTGATTGCTCTGGCTAAAACCAACACTTCCCTCTTCATTCCATGAATTGACATTATCGATATCCTGCTAACCATGTGTTCCCTAATTGGCTATATCTGCTTTTATAATTAGTCCACTCTCAGTGCTTTTCCACATTCGTGCCTTTTGTGCATGTGTGTCAAATACAGCTTCTTGTTAATCCTGCTTCTACTAGTGGGCACCCTTCTCTGCCAGATGGAAACTGCTCAGGAATAAGAAGAATAGTACACAGAAAGATAAGGAAAGACTGATTTTAGTTTTCTACTGAAATAGCTATATATGTGGAAAATATCTAATAGTCTAGAATTCTTTCAATATTTAAGAATAAAATATTGATATAGTTGAAAAGTACTCTAGCACTTAATTACTTGTGCATGTATGTAGAAATATAAACTTATTATATGGCTAACTGTATATTTTTATTCATTATATACATCTACACTTATATTTTACAGAGATGCTGCATCAACAGAATAGACTATTCAAAATGCCATTATGGAAAATATTGTAACAAATCTTTTCTGCAGATTTACTCCTTCCATCTTCTTGGCACTAGATGGTGGAAAACTTCGTCTTAAGATGTTAGTTTGTATGAACAGCAAACCAGAGAATTCTATTTGAGTTCAGTTTTTCATTCAAAGAAAGAAAAAAAGTAGATATGTTCAGTGCTTGCTGTATCAGCTTTGACTATATATTACAGAGATAGTATTAAGCTTGTAATTTTAGTTTTTGCCAAACTGCAGTCACTGTCAATAAATGAACATTTACAAAGTCTACTGAAAGTGACATATTGCACTTTAATTGGAAAACAGGCATTTAATATGTTAATAACAACATAGATTAACAACTATAATAATCTTGGATAACCTCATCTCACATTCATCAAGTATTCATCCAAAACCTAAATTTGGCCCTGGATTTTAATGGTCTTCCATGTACTTGAGGTATTATGGTGTGGTGCATCTGTCAAGCTGATAAATGGACGCTGCAGCTTAACACCATCTTAAAAATAAAACTGGGGTAATGCATTATACAGAAAATATTTTGCATAATCATTGCCAAAATAAAATCATTTAAAAATTCATAACTATTACAATAAAACACAATAGATTTCTACGGGGGAAAAAAAATCCCTCTACAAACCCAGTCAAATTCAAGTAGTCTCTAAGCCGCACACAACATGTAAGCACATAGTATTTTGTAGCAGAAGAAAACAAACACAACTATATTCAGTTTAAAAAGTCACTCACTGTCACCAAACTAACAGGGGGATTGTATTTCACATGCACAATCATACCAGTGCGAAACCATCATCTAATACCCAGTGTTACTTACTGATTTGCTGTCCAGTCTGCAAGATCTCCACTGTCCATAATAAGGTGATTTCTCTCCAGAAGGCCAGGAGGGCTGCTGGAAAACGCTGGCGTAGGAGACTGGGAAGAAAGTGAATCCATACTGCCTGTCGGAGTGTCCTCTTTGGGAAAGCTGTGACTGTCAGCTAGAAAAAATAGCCCAGGTCAGAAAGACACTATAAAATTCTTTTTATGAGCTGAAGAATCTACTTTGGTAACAATGTCCCGAAATACATTCAAGGAGATATTTTATTGTCCCATCTTCAGCAGGTATTTTGGAGGATATTCAATCAGCCAGTCCCCTTTTCGACATGTGCTTTGCAGGGACAAAATGCTCTATTTTGGGGGAGTTGCTTTTAGATAAAATACATCATTTCAGGCAACAAAATAGTTTAGGCCATATGTGTAAGCTGTTGTGTTTCTCTTTAAAAACACAATCTCTAAAAATAATTTAATACTGCTCCAGGAAACAGCTGCTCTCAAAAAATCATAAGCACAATTCTATCAAATGTGAAACCCTGAAACACAGAAAGGTCAGAATAAGTTGGAAATCTGTAAAAACAGGCCATTAAACAACATGTGATAGCCAAGAGTGCTCCTTTTGTTACACCTCTCTGAGGGGGTTCCTTCTACTTGAGCTCACTGTATGCTGGTCTGCTATTTGTTCATATGGGCTGCTCTTAAATTATCACCCAAGTGGCAACACATTCAGAAACGATTGCTTAAGAAAACCTTTAAGGGTCACCATTCCCATCTCTTGAACTGTAGGAGAGGAGGTTACAAATATGTCACAGCACTCGCTGCAAGCCATGCTGACACATATAGCCAAACAGCACATCCCTCATTGTAAAGTTAACCTTCACCACAGAGTTTTTCTCTTTTAAATTTTTATTTAAACAGCAGTACATTATATAAATTCTAAAGGAGGTGTATAAGATGAGGAAAATTACATACATTAAAGTATCCATCATAATGGAGTCCACAGTCTCAAATGGGGCTCATCACTGTTTTCACAATATTAACATTTAAGCCAACATTCACAAGCCTTCCTGCCTCCTTGCATTTCCTCTTCCATTGTATTTGCCCCAGCATTTTTCTGCCTGGCCCCCAGAGCTGTTAAATAACACAAGAGTTTCTCTAGAGCGGTTGTGGATACTGCTGACCCCACAGCTTTGCCATAAAAACAAAACCAAAAATACCAGCTCCTTCAGGAACAGGGGGAAAAAAGAACATCTAAATCCTACCATACCTTCGCAGTGATTTGATCAAAAGCCACAACCCTATAATGTTAGTTTGAAAATTCACCACTTCTATATAAGACCCCTTACAGGAAGAAGTACTATATAATATTATTTTCAAGTAAACAAATCAGAGTCCCTACAGAGAACAACTGAATCTGGTTGCTGAAGCAGAACTAGAGCAGCACTGTTGCAGTGTTTTCTTTCTTTTTTAAAACAAATTAAAAAGAAAAAAAAAAACAACAAAAGGTGGACAATGAAAGGCCACACTCAGAGAATGACACCTGCAACTTTATTCCTCCCTTATCCAGTTCAATTCCTTCTGCTGGATGGCAGAAAATAACAGGGCTGCCACCAACTTCCCCAGCACCTCCTCCTCAGCCCTCCCAGTGATTCCAAGAGAGCAGCTTCCCTAGAGAGTAAGCTGACATACAGCTAAAACCACTCAAACGATAGAGGTGATCATCTGAAAATTTCTCCCTAAAGCACCTTCTAATTTAAGACTCTAAATTAGCCTGTAGTAACAACACATGATAAGCTCTGAGGAGGAGACTGTTAACCTCAGAAAAATGAGTCACTGCCGTTCCAGCCTGATCCTGCTCCCCTCGCACAGCAGCTCCCTACCACAGCTCCGCACAACCTGCCTTCGTGCAGCAGCTCACATTTACATGACATGACATGAGAACTGGAGGATTGTCAGGTAAAAACTAATTCATTACATCTCATTTTCAGACGTGTGTGTCACAGTGATAAACATCTGAGAGATTAGACAGCAATACTGCAATTTTACTTTATTAAGAAACTGAATTCCTCCAAACTAGGTAGACTGAGTCCTTTTGCCTCAGCCAAGCTCTTTTCAAAAGAGCAGCATAAATGCAAAACGGATTATCAAGCTTCATACTCTGTGTGGGTTCCACCTGTTGCTTAATGTCACAAAAACACCATCAGAAAGGAATATTAACCTCTGCTTTAATATTTATGTGCACGACCGACTCGCCACACCTCCCTACAGAAAGCAGCGGCTTCTCCGGCTGCAAGTGGCCTCGCGGAGCGCACAGAACAGGCGGGGGATACCGAGCACTTCCCTTGGCCACGGCTGCTCAAGGCAGAGTCTGAGATCTACAGGCAAATGCATTCGACATTACCAGAAACGAAACTCTGAGTTTGTTTATTAACATACTCACTGATCAGAGCATATACCTTCAATTTGACAGCTTTATCTTCCCCAGGCATGATCGATCTTCCTAATATTTGCAGTATCTCTCATATGAGGAATTTGCACTATGTGAAATTATTTAAACAATCTATCTTTCTATCTTCTTTGTAATACACAAGTTGAACATTCAAGCTTCTCACAGTAAGGCATTTTGCGTTTCTGGAATCATGCGCTTCTCTTCTGCGAACCTTTTCCAACTTTCCAAAGTTCTTTCTAAAGAGCATACATCAAATCTGATTTTTTTTTTAATTGTGGCTCCATCGGTGCCATGCTCAGAATTAAATTCCACCACTTACTCCTACTCATCAATCCCATTTGTACATCCAAAGCCCGCACTTTTTTTTTGCTGCAGCTTTACATTAATAGTTCATGATGAGTTGATTGCCCATTGTGACTAATAGACTTAGCAGAGTCACAGTTTCTAAGGACACAGCTCTTTGTTTTGTCCTTAGCAGCTGCATTTTTCCTCCAAGATCTGTAAATTTATTTCTCAATACAGCCAAGCTTATTTTATTTGAAGGGATGTAGCTTGCACAACTACCATGCAACTACCATTGTCATTATTTGCAACTTCTCCTATTTTTGTTTCAAATATAAATACATCCTCAGGGATTTGTATTTACCTCCAAAGCAAAGGTAAAAGATGGGAGAGCATGAGATGTAGTACCAAGCCCTGTTAAACCCATTAAACCCAAGTTTAAACCTCCTGTTCCGTGATGCTTCCTGCACTGACATGCACTAATCTTTCAGCTAGCTCCTAATCCATTTACAGAGTGCTATACTAATATACGATAGCGGTAACATCTCCCTTCTCCCTCGGAGTATCCCAGAGCAGTTAGGTCAAAAACGTTACAAAATTCTAAATATATTAAAAAACACATAGCAACTTTTATGTACCAAATCTATTAACGGGAGGACTTGAATCAAGCTGACACACAGAATTCATCTTAAAAGGATGGCTTCCATTATTGACATTGCTATTCTTCACTCAATTAACTAGCCACCATTTAACCAGAAAGGCTTTCTAAACATGATCTATTGCACTAGTATTCTTCCACTTTCTTGGAAGTTCTTCAGCATGCTACAAGATGTTTTGAAAGTTAATTTTGCCAGGCCATACAACCCCATGACCAGACAATTCTTTTAGGACAAGCTAAATGGCTTCACATTATTCAACATTTTCACCTTCCAACAGGTTTACCTCTGAAGATTCCTGCTTGATCTTCTTTTTATCAGTTTTTCGAAACTTGTACCTTATATCCACTATTTCCTTCCCCCCTGCCCTGTGCTCCGTTAATGTATGTCACTTCATGCAGCCAGTAAAGATCCTAAGCTGCAGTAGATTAGTCTTAAAAGCTCTGGCATGACTGCTTTGTCTAGTGTGTGTTAAGCACTGCTGGAATTGAATCAAGTTCATGGTTTTCATTTTACCTCAGATTCTAACATAGATGGTTAAAGTTTTTACTGTGTTTCTCCTCTGCCCTGTGCTCACCTCCAACGCTGCCTGGCAGTGAGCAGTGCTGTCAGCTCCGTTTCACACTGAATGGCTGGGGTGCCACGTTGGACTGACAGCTCCTTTCCAAGCGGAGCTGCAGAAACTTCCTGTTCAACTTTTCTACTATTTGTGCTTTAGTTCATTCTTACACCATAAAACTGGAAATATATCATTTCTTTTAAAGTTCCTATCATTTTCGGAGTGTATTCTTTGGTGGTCTCAGGGTCACCTTCTCTTCAAAAATTTCCTCCCTTTACTCTCCCATTACATTCATATCTTTGGGTAATAAACAGTGCCAGAACAGATGAAAGACAAGAGGTTTCTCAGTACAAAAGCAATATATGATGCTTTCTCATGAATTTCCATTAAGTCTCCATCCATGAACTTCCCAGCTTTTTTAGCTCTATGTTTGTGGAAAGCCTCTGAGTACTTGGGGCCTTCAGCTAAGCTTAGCTTGCTTCCTGCAGTTGCCAGCAAGCTGCTTCTACAATTTATATCCTCAGCCTTCATGAACAGGTACAAGGATCCAATTTTACTCTGTACAGAGTTAAAACTTGTTTCATACTCTCACCACCTTCTGTATACTGACTTTGTAAATTTTCTGACTGTTCAAATCCTTGTAAACTGGTATCTAAATTACATTTTTGGTTCAGTGCTCAAATCACAACACTCATTCAACCTTCTAGCTTCCACTGTGCCTTCACACCTTCACAACACATGCTTGTGCTTTGTCGTTACGGACCACACATAATTTAGACCAGCCCTTCCCAGCAAATATAACAGCTTAGCTTGATCCTCACCATCCACTGGTTGGATCCAGCTGGTACTACTTAGCATTCCTTTTTCAACCTTTTTTTCTTTTTTTTATTCATTTTCCCCTTTCACATAATGAAAAACCCTTTGGAGAGAAGGAAATACTTACATAGACTAAGACTCACATCATCTAGGTTCTCTTTAACAATTACAGCTTTCAATTCTTTTCTCCTCTTTTGTCTGGATAAGTCTCCAATAGCAAAAGCTCTCAAACCCTCCATACCAGATATCTGAACTCAGTTCTCACCTAACTGAACACAATATACCTCCCAGTTGCCTTTTTTTTTTTTTCTCCTTTTTCTAACTGGCTATTCTATGAATACTTTATTGCTGGCATCTGAAATTGAAAGAAACCAAAATACTTTGGCTGTATCAATAATCAGA